CTCCCGAACCCGAGGCACTACATGCTAGCCTATCGGCATCCTCGTTATGGTCCCTCGGAATTTGAATGAATTCAATTTTTTCAAAATTTTTGGCCTCCCGCATAACAGCAGAATGATATGCTTCCATCGTTTCATCCTTGGTTTCATATTCGCCATTCACCTGCCGAACGATTAACTGCGAGTCACTAAAAACAGTCAAATTCCTGACCTTCAACTCCTTGGCAAGCGTAATTCCGGCCAGCAATGCTTCATACTCCGCCTCATTGTTCGTGCCTCCGAATTCAAGCCGAAGTGCTTGACTTAATGATGTACCTTCTGGCGTTTGTAGTTTGATCCCAATGCCTGCACCCATCTGATTTGAGGATCTATCGACGAAGAGTTTCCATAAGCAACCACGAAGGTCTTCCTCCATGTCCTCTGAATCACATTCTAGTAAAAAATCTGCCACCGCTTGCCCTTTGACTGCTGTTCTGGGTTCGTATGTGATATCAAATAAGCTTAACTCTATGGCCCACTTCGTCATTCTTCCTGAGAGATCTGGTTTGTGCAGGATTATTCTGATAGGGAAAGTGGTTAGAACGATGATAGGATGGGATTCAAAATAATGTCTGAGCTTTCTTTTCGCATGCACTAGCGAGAGTATCACCCGCTCTGCCTTTGAATAATGTCTTTCGGCCTCAGTCATTGTCTTGCTAACGTAGAACACTAGATATTGCTTCCCTTCTGCATAGCGGATCAAAACTCCACTTGTCGCGATACTGGATACTCCGAGATATAAAAATAATTTTTCGCCCAGTTCTGGGGCTGACAGGACCGGAAGGTTCTGTATATACCTTTTCATAGCAGTTAACGCTAGGCGCTGTTCATCCCCCCAAACTTGTCTGTCGTGGCTTCGTATTATGTCAAAAAATGGTTTGCAGTGATCTGACAATTTGGAAATGAACCGGCTCAATGCAGCGATCCGTCCCTTAAGTGTTTGCACTTCTTTGACTGTTGTTGGTTCGGCATTCTTAGTCAGAGCTTCTGCTTGGGCAGGGCTTGCCTTGATGCCTCTGAGATTAACCACGTGCCCCAGGAATTGGACAGAACTTACACCGAATGAGCACTTGGTTGGATTGAGCTTCATTCTATATTGCCTCAACACATCAAATACATCTCGTAGATGTTTCACATGGTCAACTTTCTTCTTACTTTTTACCACCATGTCATCAATGTAAGCTTCCACCGTCTTCCCTATTTGTCCTTTAAAAATTTTGCTAATAAGTCTTTGGTAAGTTGCTCCGGCGTTCTTCAGTCCGAATGGCATGACTTTGTAGCAATACGTCCCGCGTTCGGTAACGAAAGAAGTTTTTTCTTCATCAGCAGGGTCCATGGGGATCTGATTATAACCTGAATAAGCATCTAAAAAGGTCAAACGCTCATACCAGTAGTTGCATCCACCATTTGATCAATCTTTGGCAGCGGGAAGCTATCCTTCGGACAGGCTTTGTTTAAATTGGTGAAATCAATGCACACTCGCCATTTCCTATTTTTCTTCTGCACAACGACAACATTTGATAACCAGTCAGGGTAGTACACTTCTCTTACAAACCCCGCATCAAGCAACTTGTCAACCTCCTCAGAAATGATCCGGTTGCGCTCGGGAGTAAACCGTCGCTGCTTCTGCTTTACAGGTTTTGCATTGGGATTAACGTTCAAAGAGTGACAAGATACGGAAGGATCAATCCTTGGCATGTCTAGGTGACTCCACGCAAACACGTCTGCGTTTTGAGATAAGAAATTAATTAACTCCTGCTTCTCCTCCTCAGCGAGTCGTCCCCCCACTCTGGTTGTTCGTTCCGGTCGGAACTGATCGATCTGCACATCAAACAGGGGTTCTTCAGTCAAGTCCACTGGCTCCTCCTCCCCATTCTACTTGGAGGGAGGCTCTTGTAATTGCTATCTCGGACTTGCTGAACGAATAGGAGCTTTCCCTTTTCCGGCATGTTTCAGCGTTACTGAATAACATTCTTTTGCTGCAACCTGGTCCGCATGAATGTCAATCACTTTGGTCCCGTCTGGCCCCAGGTATCTCATCACCTGATGCAAAGTGGAAGGAACACCTTGAACTCTGTGGATCCACCCTCTGCCCATCAGAAGATTGTAAAAGGGATAGATTTCAACAACCACAAAGGTTTCCATCAGAACCCTCTCGGCAGCATGTACCGCTACCTCCACCGTACCAATAGGCTCCACTCGTTTTTCATCAAACCCTAGTAAAGGATTTCCGGTGGATTTCAGCCGATCCCGTTTGATCTTGAGCCGATCAAATGTGTCCCTTGGCATAATGTTCGCACTATTTCCAGGATCAATCAGAATTCTGTGCACCAAGCATTGGGCCACTGTCAAACTTACGACCAACGGGTCCTCATGAGGGATCTGAACACGCAATAGATCTGTTCCGTCAAACTTTATCTACATTGATGCGCTCTGTTGGTGCAGAGTGTTTACACTGCCTATCCTTCTCTTCATCTGTGCCTGGCGAATGCATGTTCGAAGCAGTTCATCTGACTCTTCAACAGGCTCTGGCCGACCGTGAATTGCATTGATTATTCGAACTGGTTGCGTGTTGTGAGAATTTGACTTCTGATTCCTCTTCACGTGCTCCATTGGTCAGTTTTATTGCACCGCTGGGCCTTGAATATAACTTGCGAACTCCCCTCTGGCTATCAGCATCTCTACCTGTCTCCTTAGGTTCCTGCATTCGTTAGTCTGATGGCCAAAGTCAGAATGAAATGCACAGTGCTTAGACTGATCCCTCTGTTCGAAGGGTTGTCTGATTGGTAAAGGAGGTCGGAACTTATCTTTATTTTCTTAGTACAGTCTTGCTAAGGTAACTTTCAATGGAGTAACCAGCTCTTCCTCTCTGGCCCTCTTCTCAGATTTCCACGAGGAGCGCTGCGGCTGAACCTGCTTTTGCCTGATCTTTGCTTTGGTCTTTTCTTCCGTGGATATGACGGATGTCTTCCGAGCATTTACCGCCTCTTCTTCTTCCAAGCGTACAAATCCATCGGCTCTTTCATTAAGTTCATCTATAGTTTTCGGCGTGTTCACCACCAGGCTTGTGTGGAATGGGGTGCCATGGGTCATGGCCAGTATAAATGCTTGAACTGCCGTTGAAGGGTGACATTCAATCACCATACTCTTGGTAAGGTTAAACCTGGTTAGGAAAGCATGGAGACGCTTATCAGCATGCTGCTTCATTGTAAATAGGCTCGAAATATCCTTCGCTAGACGCTTATTTCCGTAATATTGGCTTATGAACTGATCACACAAGCTTCGGAAACTATCCACTGAGCCCCTCGGCAGGTTCTTGAACCAATTTTGAGCTGGTCCAGCTAGACTTGTAGGAAAGCACTTACACATTAAAGAGTCATTCTCAGTGTTCAGAGCCATTTTCAACTGGATGTGATACACATGATCGATCGGATCGTTCATTCCGTCGAACAGAATAAAAACAGGCATGGAAAATTTCCTCGGACTCGGAGCATTCAGAATCTCATCGGTGAACGGTGAATCAACCATTCGAGCTGCTGAACGGAGTGCTTCATTTTCCCTTTGGAACCCTGCGGTTGCTTTTTGGTCTATAGACCTCCTCTCTGAGCTGTGATAGTCGAACGTCGTCATAGAAGGCCGATAAGTCGGATCGAATGATCTATCCTCAGCAAAGTCTCTGCGCCATAGAGGCATAGCTTTGTGACGATCCAACTCTATTGCTTCACCTCGGCTGAGCGTTTCTTGATGTGGATCAAAAGTCATTGCTTCGTTTCGCCTGATTTGCTCACACCGTGGATCCACGTGAGTCGATCCTTCACGATCATCAATACGACGAAGATTTAGCGGCAAACCGTCTCTCCGGATTTCCTCGCAGTGAGGATCTATCAGATTGTTTTCGACCTCCTCGCCGTGATGTGCCACATCAGTATGTGCAGCTTCTTCTCCTACCGGGAGTGGTCGCGGAATTACTGGAGCTTCTTGACGCTGCATTTCAGTCCTTAAATCTGCATTTTCTCTCCGGAGAGCTTCGATCATGCTCATCAACTCATCAAGTTTCACCTACTGGACGTTCCCTACCGTATTGGAGTTCTTACCCCCTATCATGATTCCGGATCGAAGCAAAGGCATCAATTACGAACACCGAAACAGATCTGAGCGTCACCGATGCAAATTCCGTTAGATCTGGGCTCAACTTCACCGAATCGTGGTCACCGTTTGCTATATTTGAATTTTTCTAGCTTTGAACTCACCGGATCTGACTGCAACTGAGCAAATCACAGTTGTGTCATCCTGAAGCAAATGCCTCAGAAGCCACAATAAACAAGAATTCTCTCTAAACAAACTACAATCTCACTGATCTGGATTCAACTTCCAGAAATCAAACTGTGTACTCACAAACTTGATTGAACTAACATGGTACTGATCAGGCTCGAATCGATCTTCTTCGTCGTTTCCCATAAATGGCGCCAATTGAAGATGCAAGAAATACACCCTTTTCTCTCTCTCTAGAATTCTTACACTTCAATAGAATAAAAAATTCCCCTTCTTGTCCACCCCTCATGGTCTATTTATAGACCAATACAAATATTCTCACTAACTGATTACATTGGGCCTCTATTCAAGGGTTTTCTTCCTTTTGGGCCTGACTTTCCAATGGGCTTGATTTTCCTCAGTGGATCCTCCAAGTTCGGCCCATTCCGTGGTGCTTTTGCATGGGCCATACTTCAATTGTTCGACCCGATCTCATGCCAGCGAGCTATAACCGGCCCATGCCACTTACTGCATCCTCAACAGCCATAAATAGGGCACAAAGCCGTTAAAGAAAGGACGAGAAAAAACCCCTAAACAGAATATATACAATTATTATGAGATACGATTACAAGTACTAACTTGATCGTCAGAGGGTCCTCGACTGGCACCCCACCTGTGCCATTCGAGGTGACGTCCTTTAGTTTTGCAGGTAAATGCAGTTGTTCCGAGTCGCGAGGATTTTCGCATCAAAAAGCCTTGACGGCATTGTAATTGGCAGCGAAAATCCACATTTTGTGATCCTAGTGAAGCCCCAAGTGGCGAAACCCAGTTCATCTCTGGTGATGAACAACAGAACTGAACTGACCCAATTCCGACGAGCTCCTAGTGTCAATGAAACCAAACTCAGTTCCGGCGAGTCCCAAGTAGCAAATCCCAGTTCATATCGGCTTCTAGTCAGAGTAATTAGTGATGATGGCGTCAGGGCTCTATTTTGGGTCTTGGGTTCTCTGTGGTGGAAGCTATGTTGTGACAAGAATGAAGGTGAAGGCTTGGTGGTAGTTGTGGGTGGTGTCAATTTGTTTTTTGAAAGGTGATTATTTAGTTTGATTTGGTGTCAATTTGGTGGTGGTTGTAGGGGGTGATGATAGAAGTGGCTATAGGTGGTGAAGCTGTGATGCCGCAGGCCGGCGGTGGCAGTATATGGTGGGGGTGATTGGTGGTGGTGATATATATATGTGTGTGTTTGTGTGTGTGTATGTGTGTGATTCGGTGGAAAAAACAGGGTGTCATAATGGTGGGAAAAAATAGGGTGTTATAGTGGTGGGGAAAAAAAAAAAAAACCTAAATTGAAAAATGAAGAGAAGGTTTGAGGAAAGAGAAAAATAAGACAAATTTGGCAATTTTAGACACCAAAGATCTTTTCTGCCCTTCTCTGCAATTGCCCCTCTCTTTCTCTAAAACTCTCTTCTTGGCTGCGAAAAATTTAACAATCATGACAGAAAGGTAGAGAGAGAAAGAAGAAGGTTCATGACAGAGAGACGGGGCGGTGTGATTGTGATGGGGGTAGTTTGGTCACAAAAAAAGTTAATATGAGGTCAAAGAGTAGTATAGTCATTTAACACCTCAAAATTACTTTGGCTCCATCAAAAATTGACCTTTAGGGTGTAAGTGAAATGTTAAATTACTAATTCAAATATAAGTGAAATTTAAAATCAAAATCTTAATCTATGTGAAATATGACCTACCCACAGGGGGTCTAAGTGTAATTTACCTTTAATTTTATGATGTGTGTGAGATGTTCTATTGTTATTACTTGTATTTAATTAATTATTGGTTGTTTAATTGATTATTTGTTTTATTTTAGTTTAGTTTTAAATTAGTTGGGCTAAGTAAATGGACTATGAGTTTGTGTGTGTGGTGTAGTTATTAGGAAGGTTTTGTTGATACGTGAGTTTTGAGAGAAGAAGAAAAGAGATGGAGAAATAGAGAGAGAGAGAGAAAGAGAAGGAAGAAGAATGTGACTGGAGAAGGAAAATGAAGGTGACAATGGGTTGTCGGAGTTGGAAACGAAAACTGGAGCGATTGTAGAGAACTTTGAGTTTACTTTTCAATTCAAAAATCACAAGGCAAGTTTTAATCTATGCATCATTAGCTTGACTTTAGGGAATTTAAACAGAGGAATTAAATATGTTTCTATGCTATAGTCAGATTAAAATTAACCTATATATGTGTATATATGTGTATGTTGTTACAGAGTTCGAACTTACAAATTAATGTATGAAAACTTGGTTTTGATTCTCTAATCATGTATAATTGCTTCATATTAATAATGGGAATTAATTGAGACATAGATTCATGATTTAGGACTTATAACGATGGATTTTCAGACTTGAAACAAACCTGCTGAACTGGTTTTACAAACCAGTGCTCGAGCACTAAGGGATAATACTCAAGCACTATACTATGCTTAAGCACAGTATGAGTGATATGCTTCGAATGGCCCCGAATTGGTTTTATTAAATTCTAAGTATGTCCTAAAGCTTCGGGAACAGTGTTATAAGATTTAAATGCATAAATTGTGTTATAACTCTTACGTTTCATGATATGATCACTATAAATAATTAAATTAACTTTTAAGTTACAAATTAATTTTTTATAATGTTTAATTTGTGTAATTAAATGGACTAGTTGGATTTATGATTTTAAAAATAGTTGTTGATGTACTTATAATTGACAAGCATGATTTATGGCTGTGATTATATGTTATACCATTGCTAAATATAGTCTGATGGATTTAATGTATGTTTGAGATGGGATCATTAAGATACCTAATAAGGTAGGCTCTTTGATATTTTAATGATTAGATGAGCTGGCTAATAAGTCAAGACATTCTACATTGTGCTATTGTTAGATATGGCTTTATTGATGATGTTATTAAGTATATATATGTGTGAGCCATAATACGAGCTTGATGTCTCAACATAAGTGGTTAAGACTGAGGCATATATTGTCGAAGATGAGTAGCTGGATATAAGAGATGTGTGGGCCCTGGTAGTACAGGGACTTTTGACCATCTGGTGTGTGATTTTTCTTAAGATACCCTCTATCTGGTTGAGACTGCCCTATATCTCAGTGAACGTCTTAGTGTGTATATTTATGTATCGACTATATAGTTATTGTATAAGTTTGGCTAAGGATGTATCGTTTATCGGTTCTCTGATTAAGTTATAGTAGAAAGGACTTGCTCGTGGGGCTAACCCATTATTTATTTTTCAAGTCCATGCTAGTTCCAGACTTAGAGGTTGTTCGTGCTGATCAGAGAGCATCCATATTCACTCGTTCGGAATATCGATGTAGGACATTATCTCAGTTTTCATTTATTGTTTAAACTCGGTTTATCTAGACTTCATTATTATTTTCGTTTTTAGATTTTTATTTAGGGGTCCATGTAATTTGGATTCCTGAGTTGTACTTTGGAGGTTTACAATAATTATGGGGAATTATTTATTATTGAATTTATTTGGAGTATTGACAATAGAGGATAACTAATTATTATTTAGTTTTCATTCAATATTAGTATTTATTTTATTATTTATCTATTTGCATTACGTGCTTGTTTTAAATATTAATTGTTTGATATCCTCCGGTCTTCGGTTGCGCACTTGATCAACCCATGCCTAAAAACTGGGAGTATCACATCCCTAGAGACGACGAGCCAAGATTGAACAATATGAAACTTGGAACGACTCATTTACAGCCCAAGAAAAATCTTGAGACGGGGTGGATCGACCAGTAATTTCATATTGGGTGTAAGGCTGTAAACGAGCCGAGCCAAGCCAAGCTTTGGGGAGTTTAGGGTTAACTCGTCATAGCCAAAAGGATGCTTGAGATCGACTGAAGCTTGATCGAGCCTTGACCACCTTTGATAGAGATTAGCTTGGCAGTACTCGGACGAGCTTTAGCTTGGCTTGATTGCTCAATTATTCATATAAAAAAATTCTACATATATATATATATATATATATATATATATATATATATATATCCATTGATCTTAGCTCGCATATCAATCTTCCCTCAGTATTTGTTTTCCAAAGGTTCACAATTAAAAACCCCTCCCTATTGTAGCCGTTCCATTATTGTCATCGTGGGTCGCTTGAGGGGTGGGGGTGGTTATGGAAAGAAGACTAAATAATGGAGTAATGCTTAAACTTTGGACGAGATAACGGTGTATGGGAAGAAGCCTAAAGTTTCAGTGGGTCATCCTTAGGCCGGTTTGTGTAATGATCAATTTTTGTTTAGTGCTGAGGGTGCTGTTCCGTATGGAGCCCAGCATGGGGATTTTGGTTTTTAGACTCTTCTCCATCGCAATCTTTTGCGACGCAGTTGGTGCTTTTGGTTGGGAATGCTTAGATTCAAGTTACTGAATCCCACTGATCTTTTGTTTTTCTATCTTAGTGGTGGGTTTTGTGGGCTTCGTGTTCTATTGGGTTGTTTTGCTTTGGTTTGTTTGTGTTTTGGTGTTTCTTTGTAGATGTCGCAGAGCTTGATTTTGCCAAAAAAAAAAAAAGAAAAAGAAAAAGGAATAGACTTGAGAATTAATGAATACGCTGTGTTTGATTTATTTTTAAAAGAGAAATAATATAACAAATTGGATTAGGTTAGTCTGGATTATTAGTAGGGCTGCAAGTTGGGTTGGCCCAACCCAACCCAACCTTAACCCGAATCGGGTTGGGTTGAGCCACCCGAATTATATTCAACATGGTTTATGATTATAACCCAGCCCGAATATTTTTGGACGGGTTGGGTCGGGTTGACGGGTTGAAAACTTTTTTTTTTTAATTTTTTTGTTTTTGGAAATTTATATATATATATATTATATATTTGATTATATTATTATTAAAAACAAATTATATATATATATATATATATATATTATATTTTATTTAGGGCAAATCATTTTAGCCTTCCCCAATCGCCTCTCTCTGAACTTGCCTCCCCCCCCCTCTCTCTCTCTCTCTCTCTCTGTGCAACAACTGCAAACTACAAAAACTTCAAAGCTCATATATTTCAGTTTCATCTATCTACAACAATCAAAAGTTCAAAACCCATATCGGCATATCATTTCAGATTGTTCAAAAAATCAAAAACCAAATCTTTCAGTTTCCATCGCCTTCCAGATCGGGTTCGCCGTTCGCCGTCGGCAAAGCTTCAACCGCTGTCTCTCAACTCTCAACCATTTCAGATCGTTCAAAAAATCAAAACCCAGATCTTTTAGTTTTCATCGCTCGCTGTTCCAGTTCGCCGTTCGCAAGCTTCAACTGCTGTCTCTCAACTCTCAAGCTTGCCCCCCTCTCTATCTCTGCAACTGCTACCTTGAATGTATGGGGACGGTACACAGAAAGAGAAAGAGAGAGAGAAAGAAGAGAGAGGAGAGAGAACGGAGGAAAAAAAAAAGAGAAAAAAAAATTTATTTTTTTTTTTTATTTTTGGGTTTTGGGTTGGGTTCGGGTTGAACCCGAGTCCAACCCGAATATGTCTGGGTTTTGACAAAACTCAACCCGAACATGAACCCGATTTGTAAACTTAAAGTCCAAATTTTAAATTCTCGAGTTGGCCTTGGGTTGGGCTGGGTTAACCCGCCAAAGTTGCAGCCCTAATTATTAGGTTTGGGCTTAAAATAAATTCAAATGGTTAAAATACCTATTATGGCACATAAAAATATGAAAATGTATGTATACGTATATCTGTGTGTGTGTGTGTGTGTGTGTGTGTGTGTGCATATGTGTGTTTGCGCGCACTTGCGCGCGCATGCGCTCACGAGTTCAAAACGAACCTGAAGTGAACTTGTTCACGAATGTAAATGAGTTGAGTGGGGTGTTGTTTGAGCTCGGCTCGTTTGATAAAGTAACTCAATAATTTTATTTAAACTCGGTTCATTTAGTAAAATTGACATGAATCAAGCTGAACCCGAGTAGTTCGCGACTCAACTAAAGTAAAATTAATAAATAAAATGCATTCATTTTTAATAACAGAATTTTCACAAGGTGGATATATCTGAGAAAATCCTTTATAAAGAAAAAACAAACA